AGCCCACTCAGATATCTTGGTTTCTACCACTTGAAAGCCTCTTTTCCACATTCCATTTCGGGAGAGCTGGCTCTTCCCGGAGATTTGACAACCTGGTACCGTCTCCTCCCACAATCACCCTCCCATTCCTCTGGCTTATCTCTGGTGTCAGAGAAGAATGTAATCTTCAGACTTGTACATTCCAACTCCGTATTTGGGGGAAAACTCCTCAGCATAGCTGGCTGGCATGTGGAGGGCAGGGCAGGGGCAGCTGGCTGAGCAGTCACCGGTCACCTGGGTCAGCCCTCAATCACCCCACCGTAGGCTGCAAGAGCTGTAAAGAGAGGTGGACAGGACCCACTTAGAAGATACCAGTTCTGGGTCGCTGGGGCAGTCTGTACTGGGAGAATTTATTCCTGGAGTTCTGAGGATGAGATGAGAACAGCAGGAGTCAGAGCCCCTGAAACTGCCCAGTGTTTTGATGCTTACCAGGTGTGTTTACTTAGCCATACCTTCAGGAAAAACTCACTCTGCTAATATCACGGCAGGAGAGACCTGGTCAGCTGTGCAAATAAGCCCATAGCCAGCGTAAAACAGTGAGAATTAGATCACCCTTCCTTCTCACTAGGTAACTAGGAACTCAACGCTGCGTAACCTCAGACAAGCCAATTTCCCTCTCTGGGGCTCAAGTTTTCTCCTAAAATGGACAAGGAAGGGTGGGACCAGACAAGTTCCAAAGATCCTTCAAAGGCCAAAGATCCATGACTCTGATTTTTATCTAAATCCATAAAAGTGTGGCCAAGTATATAATCACTGCTCTTTTTCCCCTGAGGCTGTGCTTTTACTGTCAGTCTAAACCTGTAATCTTCTTCTAAGAGATTTTCCCCCCCAAAATCATAAGAGTGTGGGGAATCTGAATTGGAAAGTTTTCTGGGACTCAATTTTCCACCTCCACTTCTGCTCATTTCTCCGTCTCAACTCTCACCATAGCCCTTCTCAATGCTGGGATGCTAGAGGATTTGGGCTGTGAATTTCAGGAACTTGAACTTGATTTTTACTGTTTGGAGTCCTGCCGCATCCGCTCTGGGCACTGTGGAGAACACCATGATCCTCCGTGTACACAGTTATGCCTTTTCCCATTCATTTGTCTGGAACATTTCTCCCGTGTGCCAGACGCCACCCCTGGCACTGGGGCTAGGAAATAAATCCTGTGGCCCAGTTATCAGGAAGTTTAGTACTAAATTACACAAGAGCCAAGTCAATCCGCTTGATGGCAGGTAGCCAATGTTACCTAGGAAAGAACACCAACGAATGCACTTGATTCAGCTTGAGGGCATCCACTTGGTGAAATCTTAAAGGGTGCTACAGCAGGTGCTGTCAATGCCCACCCTATCCCCTTAACTCTCTGTGGAGTTGCTTGAACTATGTGCCAGGAGTTAAACCCCCAGGAAGAAACTTTCAAACCAACAAGAAGCAGCAACTGGTGCGTAGATACCTCCTCTTCCTGGCCACTCGATGGAACAACCCTGAGGTATGCTCTACACAGTCTCGCAGAGGTCCCCAGCAAGACGGAGTTCCAATTGTCTACAGCAGTCCCTGCTCATCAACACATCATCAGCGCCTTTCCTGTCTTACTTCCTTACTCCATCTCCGCATACCTTGAGATCGCTTCCCAAATAAATTACCTGCATGGCACCCAGGTCTTTATCTCAGGGTCTCCTTTCAAGGGGATGCACGCTAGATATTCAAAAAAATTAGCTGACATGGAGACTAAGGCAATCAAGTGGGGTGTACCCAGGCAGAGGAACAGCTCAGTAAAGCCATGGAGGGCAAGGCATGGCACGGCACTTGGCGTGGCATTTGAAGGACACACATTTGTGGGTTCCAGGATTGTGTTGCGAGACCTTAGCATTCTTCTCTGGTGGGGACAAACACTTTAGTCATCTTGTCCTGACCTCTAAGAAGTGCTAGAAGAGAAGAAAAGACTGGGAGAAGAGGGCTGACCCTCCCCGAGAGGTGCCTGGTAGGCCCTACCCAGTCATCCTCCTTGGGCCCACAGTGACCCAAGAAATCAGCTCTGTGTATTTGCAGAACGAGCTCCTCGACTATGGAAGGAAATTTCCCATTGTCTTGGCTTCTCACACAATTTGGGTCTCAGTATTTGGAAAAGGCTCTCTTGTGCTTAAAGGCATATTATAGTATCAAATGCTGAAGTCTACGGAAGGCAATATAAGACACTGGTGTAGCTGGGTGCAGTGGCTCACGCATGTAATCCCAGCACTTTGGGAGGCCAAGGTGAGTGAATCACTTGAGGCCAGGGGTTCCGGACCAGCCTGGCCAACATGGTAAAACCCCATCTCTACTAAAAATACTACCCCCCCCCCAAAATTAGCCAGGCATGATGGTGCATGCCTGTAATCCCAGCTACTTGAGAGGCTGAGGCATGAGAATCACTGGAACCTGGGAGGCAGGGGCTGCAGTAAGCCACACCTGTGCTGTTGCACTTCAGCCTGGGTGACAGAGGGACACTCTGTTTAAAAAAAAAAAGACAGTGGTTAAATCTCACCCATACGTGCTCCAGAATCTAGAGCACAAAACCTTAGCAAGCCTCAGTTTCTGCATCTGTAACATAGGTATAGTAGTGAGAACCTGGGAGGATTAGATGGGACCATGCATATGGCATTAGGATCTCACTGTAGTAGGTGCTCAATTTTAAAAAGGGGGATGATGATGCCCAGCACAGTGTACCTACTGGGGCAAAGCCAACCCAATACCCCAGAAAGACCGATAAGCAAACCCTGCCATATTCATCTGCCATCACCCTCCCCAGCTCAGAAGCTGAATGGGGCAGCCTGCCAAGGATGTGCATGCCAGGGTTGGGTATGACCAGGGCAACAGGGGCAATCCAGAGGGCCAACCTCACGTCAGCCTGGCCAGGCCAGGCCCTTGCCACTACTGGCAAACTGGCCAGCAATAGCTGTGACAAGAAGTCGACTCTGAAGACCTGGGGCTCCAGGAAAGCACAGGATGGTGACCTCAGGAGGATTCTTCAGTCAAGGCTGCTCCAGAACCCTTGCCCACTGGTGCACGGAGGAGTGGCACCTCGGCATGGCTCCCCGAGCTCCTGTTTTATAAGCCTCCAAGGTGAACCAGCTTCCTTCCTCCTCAGGGTCTCTGTTCAAACCAGGATGGAGGCCGGGCGTGGTGGCTCAAGCCTGTAATCCCAGCACTTTGGGAGGCCGAGGCGGGTGGATCACAAGGTCAAGAGATCAAGACCATCCTGGTCAACATGGTGAAACCCCGTCTCTACCAAAAATACAAAAAATTAGCTGGGCATGGTGGCGCGTGCCTGTA